TAAGTTTCAGCTTTTCTGGCCCAGTGGTTCTTGAGAAGAAGATTTTTCCTATATATTTCAATGTAAAACTTTCATTTCCCATTGTGGCCCAACCCTATCCCCGGGGGTCATGATTTAAACAATTTAGAATCTTCATTAACTCAGAATGATTCCATGTAAGTTTCAGCTTTTCTGGCCCAGTGGTTCTTGAGAAGAAGATTTTTTAAAGATTTTCCTATATATTTCAATGTAAAATTTGATTCCCCATTGTGGCCCCACCCTACCCCGGGGGATCATGATTTGAACAATTTAGAATCTACACTACCTTAGGATGCTTCCATGTAAGTTTCAGCTTTTCTGGCCCAGTGGTTCTTGAGAAGAAGATTTTTTTAAAGATTTTTCCTATGTATTTCAATGTAAAACTTTGTTTCCCCATTATGGCCCAACCCTACCCCCGGGGGTCATGATTTGAACAATTTAGAATCTATACTACCCCAGAATGCTTCCATGTAAGTTTCAGCTTTTCTGGCCCAGTGGTTCTTAAGTAGAAGATTTTTAAAGATTTTTCCTATATATATATATATATATTTCAATGTAAAACTTTGATTCCCCATTGTGGATCCACCTTACCCCCGGGGGTCATGATTTGAACAATTTAGAATCTACACTACCCCAGAATGCTTCCATGTAAGTTTCAGCTTTTCTGGCCTAGTGTTTCTTGAGAAGAAGATTTTTAAAGATTTTTCCTACATATTTCAATGTAAAACTTGGATTCCCCATTGTGGCCCAACCCTACCCCTGGGGGTCATGATTTGAACAATTTAGAATCTACACTACCCCAGTATGCTTCCATGTAAATTTCAGCCTTTCTGGCCTAGTGGTTCTTGAGAAGATTTTTTAATGACCCCTCCCTATTTTTGTCTTTTCGTGATTTTCTACCATTGTAAGGGAACTTGGCCCTTCATTTTAATAATTTAAACTCCCCTTCACCCAAGGATGCTTTTTACCAACTTTGGTTGAAATTGGCCGAGTGGTTCTTGAGAAGAATTTAAAATGTGAAAAGTTTACAGACGTACGGACGGACAACAGGTGATCAGAAAAGCTCATTGAGCATTCAGCTCAGGTGAGCTAAAAAAGAGTTCTTTTAATGACCCTTTACAAATATAGCTTGGTAAAATAAGGTGTTTAGGGACATAATTTTTTGGTATAAACTAGACGAAAAAACATATTTCAAAACTAATTTTTAATGAAAAATGAAGAAAGGTATAAATTTCGGAGTTTTTTTTCCATCTAAGATAAAAGAAATGTATCAATATTGCCTACAGTCTCTCAGAAAACGGCTTTTCGTTTCTTCTTAACCTCTACCTCAAAATGATATTAAATTGAATATAGATATCGGAGGTACATTTGACATGATTTCAAATTGAATACAATGAAAATACTTCATTTTCTACATAATTTTATTACAGCCGTAAAGTACAGGAAAAAAACCCTTTGCAAGCACAGATGGAAATACAAATGAGAAGGCATGTTTGCCTATTACTGTATATGTAAAACGAGTCTGAATTATCTATAAAATATCTATTGTATCAGATACTCTGACTATAGTTCTAAGTCATACCACCTCGGGTATATGTAAGTCTGCATATTAATTTTTTTTGCTTTTGCATGAATGGAAACTTTTGGAATTCATTCCTTGCATACCTATACCCTACAACTATTACTGAAATCTCAAACTTCATAGAAAACTTCATAAAGTGAGTTTTTTAACATTTCAGAAAATTGGGTCCATAGGTAAATTAATTAGTACATTCACTTACAAGGTCCCTCATCATAGTTTATATAGTCCACAGCAATGTTACTTGTACCATTACTTCCACTGCTTCCCTTTAGTCTCAGCTATTAAATATTTCAAGACAACATTATACATGTAGATCATATACTGTTAAAACCAACTATTATTCTTTAGTCTCAGCTATTAAATATTTCAAGACAACATTATACATGTTGATCACATACTGTTAAAACCAACTATTATTCTTTAGTCTCAGCTATTAAATATTTCAAGACGACATCATAAATCATATACTGTTAAAACCAACAATTATTTGTGATAACTTTATTTGGATTTGTCAACCGTTTAAACTCTATCTCCAATGACTAATTTTTGTGGCTGAGGAATTATTCTACATAAATACACATTAAAATTGTTCATGGCAAAAAATACTCTTGAGTAGAAAAAAGTCTTGAAACTTGCAGATATTTCTCACATGCAAATAATAGTTGGTTTACAATATACACAAAACAAATAATGAGGACAAATAAACAAAGACTCAATCAATAAATTTTGTATAAGAACTCACCAAGTTGAAACACCTTTTCAGATTTTTTTAAAAAATATTTTGATATGTTTTCAACTGCAGATTTAAAAAAAAAAAAAAAAAATTGTCAGGTAGATGTTAAAGTCTAGCAGTACAAGATACCTTGAAAGGAAGAGCATCCGAGTACATTTGTATTTCAGCAAGATGCCACATATTTCCCTGATTTCCAAATCTCCGCCAGAATACCAATTCCACTCCACCGTAATGTTCATAAAATTTATTTACCATCAAATCACCCACACCAGATCCATACATGTGGTAATAGAACCTCAGACACTTTGTGGTATCTGCAAAATATAAATTGTATACTACAGTGACCTAAAATTTCCATATATTGGAATAATGGGAGGTCCAGGTTTCTTTTGTTTATCAGATCCTACTTATGTAGACTTGACATGGCTCTGGGGCCATAAAGCTTAAATGAGCTCACTTTTGACCTCAGTCTTGCTTTCCCACAATAAATTCTTTTAAGAAAGAGAAAATGAGATCAAAAAGTAAGCTTGTCTAAATTTATGGCCCTGAAGCCTGGCTATTACTTCTAATAATATGACAACATGTTCGATCATTCAGGATAAACAAAGGTCTTTAATGTTGAGGTATATTTTGGATTCTACAAAAACATTTAATATTAGTTAATAGGAATGTTAAGAAATATTTATCTTTTGAAAATCCTTGAGAAAATTCACTCATCAGACCTTATTTGCAATTCCAAATAAAGGTTTAAAGGTACATGAAAGAGTAATTTGTTGGAAAAATTGTCCAGACTAGACTTCAAGACATTCAAATGGTTAAATAGATCGAGACAGACCAACAGGATGCACATTCATTGCTGTCACTTCCATTCACCTACTTCTTTTTTTTCTCTCCTGAATTACGTTTGTACATTATGGGTTTTTTTCTTTTCTCAGACTATTAGACCCAAGATAGAGTCCTTCGCTGTGATTCTACATAAATTGTTAATTAATTGAATTAAGATAAACTGTGACAATTCAAGTATCAGAAATATTTTCTATCGACCAGACCAGAAAGAAGTTTGACTTACTCTGATACAGAAGTCTTGATTCCAAAACACATGAGCTATTGGATGCTGGTGTAAACATGTAGTATTCTCCACTGTATGCAGAAGCTGGACCAGTGTAGGCCGAAGGTGTGGAATTCTACAATACATAGAAATTTTAACTGTCTTAATAGGACTATATCACTCATGGGGCAAATAAAGAAAGCATAGCTTAAAAAAGAATTTTGCCTTCTTGAAAAACAAATACATGATACTGCAAATTCCTGTGGTCTGTATATTGAAAAGTAATTTGTTGAAGTTTGTTTCACATCAAGTCATAAACAAATTTTATGTCGAGTATAAAAGTATGACTTTTCATAGCCAATTAGTATTAAGTTGTGGCCCAAACAACTTCTCAGTCATGTGACCTTGACCTTATGCAAACAACCCTAAGAATCATGAAAAACAAGCAATCTTTGTCAATGTAAGCTTTTCAAAACTCTAAATAAATAGCTCACACTTCCTCTGGTCCAGGGGTTGCTGTTATTGGCATTTTGAAGAAAACAGTCCTCATCTGGCATTTCAAAAGAGCAGCTATAGGAAGTCACGCCCATCTCTGTGTACATAAATGACATGTATATATGTATATATATATGAATTTGGAAATATATTTTTTAACATCAGATTTTCCTTGTCTATAAATGATGATCAAAAATAATCAAAAGACCATTATCTTTTTAAAAAACTGATTGTTATATTTAATAGTGCATATGTACATACCTCTGGTATGGACCTCACTTTCTGTAATGTTGAGGAAAAGGTTGGCATTCACCATTGACAAACTTTCTAAAGTTGCATTGCGAACCATTTCCTGATCCATTGTTGCATTCTGACTGTTTGGCATTGTCATAACACGCTTGTAAAAAGACTGGCTGTATGTCACAACTATTCCCCGTCCATGACGTCTTCAAAAACATAATTATAAACTTAAATTATATTAAAACAAGAGGCCTATGGGCCACATCTCTTACCTGAGCTCATTGGCTATAAAGAAGCAGAAATCAGTTCAGTATTGAACGGGGCGGGAGGGAGGAGGGGGCAACTTAATTTACCCGTACAAAAACTGAAACAGATCACTGCAAAAAAAGAAAGTACTGAAATATCGGAAAACACTTGTAAACATCGGATTCTTGGCTTCAAATTAGCTGAATTCCGTTAAATATTGGAACAGAATCATCACTGACCTAAGGATGCTTCCATATAAATGATTAATCATGGCCTTCCTATTCTGAAGAAGATTTTTCTTATTTGCACCCATGTAAAACTTTGAATGCCCATAATGGCTACACCCTACCCCAGAGGATCATGATTCGTACAACTTGAATCTACACTACCTATGGATGCTTCCATATAAATATGACTGACCATGGCTTTGCTGTTCTTCAAGGAAGATTATTAAAAATATTTCCTATATATAACCATGCAAAACTTTGATCACCCATAGTGGCCCCACCCTACCCCCTGGGGTCAATCTGAACAAAACTGAATCTACACTTTCAGTCTTTGTTAAGGAGCTTTCACATAAGTCTCATCTTTTCTGGCCCAGTGTTTTTTTTTTTTTGAGAAGGTTTTAAAATGACCCCACCCAATTTTTACTTTTTCTTAATTATCTCCCCTTGGAAGATATTGTAGCCCTTCATATTAACAAATGTGAAACTCCTTTACCCTAGAATACACTGTGCTAAGTTTTCGTTGAAATTGGCCCAGTGGTTCTGGAGAAAAAGATGAAATTGTAAAAGTTTACGATGACGACAACTACAACAGATAACGGACAAATTTTGATAAGAAAAACTTACTTGGCTCAGATGAGCTTAAAAAAGCTCTGCTGCTCTACTATTATAAGTTAGTATTCAAATACATGTGTATTATTTACTTCATACCAAAGTAAGAAATTTTTTTTTATTAATAATCAAAATGTATACAGCTATTTAATAGCTATAAAATTAAAGGTTAAATCAGGATAAAAACTACCTTGACATCAGCCCCACTTACCACATTTGAGAAAAACAAATTATATGCATTTACATCATATCTGAATTAATATTTAAAGAAAATTTTGCAACCTAAATTTTTGCAAGTTTGTCCCATTTGCAAAATTTTGCAAAAATTGAACAATTTAAGGACTGGTAAAAAATACCCGTCATATGGTACTCAGGTGTCAAGAATATTTTTTTCAGATATAATGCATTATAATTTTAAAATAATAAGAATTATTTTATCATCTTAGACCTATTTTAGGGCCTTGGTCCTGGAGACACAAATCTCACCATTGGTAAAGTGTTCATACTTCAGGCTAATAGGAGTCATATGAACAACTACATGTGTAAATCAAAATATATAAGCAATCCATCATATGCACAAGAACTGGGGATGTATTGCTAATAACATTCACTGCTTGTTCATATGGTTTATGCAAATAATTATCTTCATATATTCCAGGAATAAATTGCATTTCCAAAGTTGTAAAAAAAAAAAATCAGTATTTCAATTCATGAACTAATTGTATATGACCAACTATGCCCCTGGGGTCTAAAGTCTGGACCAAGGGAACAAGACTGTCATAATTTTTGCAAAGGCCTGGCTGTTCAATGCGAAAGATTACTGAAAAAGATGTTTTCCTACAAAGTCTTCACAAGTAGTGGTCTAAAATCAATAGTGTTTGATTTTCATCCCCAAACAATTGTTACTAGAATATTTTATCTATGGACAAAAAATATGTGTGTAATTCTGAAAATATTTATTACACTATGTTTACGAATGCGGGTGGTTACGTTCCGATGACTTGTTCGACCTGCGTGGTTTCGACACAAATCCATGTTCGACCCGAGTGGTTTCGTTCCAAAGCAATTAATAAAATTAACAATTAATTGCTTCGGAACGAAATTAATTAACACTTTCAAAAGTTTTACATTTTATTTTTTCGTCTACATTTTTTTATATTGACCACGTATATTTGTGTTAATTATCGTATGTAATTAAATTTGGAGAAACGTACATTGTTCAGACAGTGCATATGTGATCACGGTACATTTGAAGAAGTATTTGATTAATTTTTATGGAAAATTGTTCAAATATAATTCATTACTGAATCAAATTTATCAACATTCATGCTCCGCGATAGTAGAAAAAAATGTTAGGAAACCTGCATGTTGACTACACATACGGAAACAACTACCTATTGACACACACATCTCTGAAGCCATACAATATACAGCTACCGGATATCCATTTGTTTACCGCACAGTGTATACCCCTGTACTCAGGTATTGACATGTAGGGATATATATTAGATTAGGTCGAAACCACTACGGTCGTAACCACGCGGGTCGAACACGGAATCGGAACATAACCACCTGACACCATGTGTACACTAGTGTCTAAAATCTATTTACCATCCCCTGAATTCATCAACTTTTACTTTTCAAAACCTCTCTGATTTGAGAAATGGTCATTTAACATTAAAAAATTAATTTCAAGTTTATTGCTCAACATTGCAAATTTTAAAATTAAGAAACATCACACTTCCAAACATCTTCCAGTACCACTTACATACTGTAGTACAGGACTATAGTTTACATACCTGATTCCCTCTAGAGTACAGCCAATGTAGTTAAAACTCATATAGCCAGTAAAAAATACAGCATTCACCTGCAAATAGAAAGAATAATTAAGTCAGGTATGTGTACAGGTAATCAAATAAAACCATGTATACAGCCTTTTCCAAAAATTGTTATTCATAAAATTTTTGTAGGTTTTCAATGTCTCAACCAATATAATTGGCACCTATAACTAATATCCCCCAGTGGAAGTGGTTTTCCAATCTTTACAGTACTTGCCGAGCCCAAGTTCAACTTCCATTGATAAAAAAAAAAAAATTCTTAACATTTTCTGTAAGCAGTATATCTCAGGGATGTAAATCCAAAAATTTAAGTAAATGATTGTTTAATTGTCTTTAAGGTCTAACAATGAAGAAATCATCTACATTGTAATTCATACTCTGCCAACCTGTCATTCGTTCGCGCCGAACTGTTCAGCAGTGTACAGCAGACAGTGCTTAGTGAATTCGTGCTATTGCTATTTCGTCTTCGTGTTTCGTCAGAGTTTTTGATCTGTATAATTTTATTATGGCGGTCGATTTCAGGGTTTTGTGATTTGTGTATTGTGTGTTTCCTAGATAGAACGTTCTATCGTTAAAATGATATTGTCCTACGGACCCGGTTTATGGTGAGGGCTTGTCCCGAGACACAGTTAGATTATTCTAACTATGTGTTTCCATATGTCTGTCTAAATACAACTTGTTAAAAAAAAAAAGAAAATCGTTGAAAGTAGTCTGATTCCCAGGTTCTGAAAATCAGAGTTCGAATTCTCGATGTAATGTGTATTTACCATGTTTACCCATGGTATATATCTGCAAAGTTATTTAATAATAGTATTATAGTTCTTCTAGTTATAATAATATGATACGTAGGCTATAGTGTAAATCGTTCACAAGTGCTATCATTGTAAGACATCACAGATCACTTCTAATTTCATATTAGGCCTATACTTTAAAGGAAATTCGATTTCTCTAAAAATGCATTTATTTACTTCATGGAGAACTATTGTCAACTTTTAACAAGACCGTTTCTAATTCAAATAGCCTTGAATCATGTATTGAGTTGCATGAAATGAAAATTGTTGCACGCAAAGATTTCAATTTCAAGCTTAATTTTGAGACCTTTTTAATTAAATTATAATTTTAGGAGTTATTCTTCCCGGCTGTCTGAGGAGCGGATATCCTTAGTATAGGTCATATTTATGTATATAAAAAAAATACAAGGAAAACACACATTACACAAAACCACCATCTAAAACTGAGCGCCTATGCCCACATATTCAATGTTCGATTTTATTTTATTTTTTAAACTTTTCTGAAACACGAAGATGAAATAGCAATAGCACGGAATTTTAGATTTGAAAGAAATATATCTAGAAAGACTTCTGAATCTTCTGAATCTGTTTTCGGTAATTCTGTTTATAAGTAAAGGACCCCCTTTTAAAAAGTGAATTCGATAGTTTTTTGTTTGTTTTTTTTTTTTTTTAAATAAAGCTTGTAGATGTTTAAACGGTCGGCAACATGTTGACTCAGGACCTCTGACATTATGAGGATGTAATCAGCACGACAGGATTTAGATTCTTTAAAAAAGCCCCCGTCACCTGGTCACCGACGGACCGATGGCAGAGGCCCATTTAAAAAAAAATCTGACTGCTTTACTTTTCCTTCAAAATGCTTCACCCGGTGTCTTTTCAGTGTTACCGTACTGTACATGTATACATGTACAAATTAAGGCTTTCCAACTTCAATTATCTTTTCCCTTGAATAATGATGTTTAGTCGAACAAGAATACCTATTCCAAAATTTCCACAGGTCTATACATTGTGAAACTTTACATACGTTATGTTCAACTTCGTTATTATTTGAGAGAATTAACGATACGTTACACAAACGAACTTTTTTTCTGATATCAGCAATATATACCTATTAGATTTATGTACATATAGATAACGAATAATGGTTGCCAAATGTTGTAAGATTTTGTAATAACTTCATAAAATGTGTGCAAAAATTGTATAAATTTATATAGAAAATGGCACAATTAAGTCTCATAATTGAACGTCAAAGAAATCCTACAATTTCTTTATATTTTAGAAATGTATTTTTTATGTCATTCCAATTCAAAATTAGTACCTAATTGTGGTGTAACATATCAAAGAATTACAAAGGATACAAAGAATTAAGTGCATAATATATATATATATATATATATATATATATATATATATATATATATATATATATATATATATATATATTAAACAAATATAAAAAGAAAACACAAGAATCCTCAAAATTTCAATTTTGGATATATATATATATATATATATATATATTTAAAGTTATATTTCATGAATAATAATATTTAAAAAAAAAAAAAGAAAACAAAAATAATTCAATGCACTAATTCAAATGCAATATGTGACTAAGATACATATAAGAAGAAACATTACCCACCATTTGAACAATCTGAGATTCCATATTTCTGTACATTACACTCCTGGGATCTTTGTAATCAGTATGATAGGGGACTTCATCCAGTTCAATATCAGTCAGATAGGTTACCTCCCCTGATGGTATAGTAGTAATATCTATCCTGGATGTGGTAGATATAGGTTGAAATGTTGTTGGTGCTGTTGTTTCTCGATTGATAGGGTTTATTGTTGTTGAATTTATTGATGGTGTAGTTGCTGCTGTTGTTGTTAATGGTGTTGTTGTCACTGGTGTTGGTGTCACTGGTGTTGTCTTTTTTGTTGTTGATAATGTTGTTGTTGGCTTTGTTGTTGTTAGCTTTATTGTTGTTAGCTTTATTATTGGTGTTGTTGGCTGTGTTGTTGTAGTCTTTGTTGTTGTTTGCTGTGTTGTCTTTGTTGTTGTTGTTGGCTTAGTTGTTGTTGTTGGCTTAGTTGTTGTTGTTGGCTTTGTTGTTGTTGTTAGCTTTATTGTTGGTGTTGTTGGCTGTGTTGTTGTTGGCTTTGTTGTTGTTTGCTGTGTTGTCTTTGTTGTTGTTGGCTTTGTTGTTGTTGTTGTTGGCTTTGTGGTTGTATTTGGAGTGTTTGTTGTTGATTGAGTTGTTGATGTTGATGGTATTTTTGTCGTTGGTATGGTTGTTGCTGGTGGTGTTGTTGATTGCGTTGTTGATGGTGTCGGTGTTGTTGTTGTTGTCGTTGTCGTTGTTGTGGTTGTTCTCACTAAAATGTTAACCATGTACAATTTACATTTCACGTAATTTTTTTTAAAATGTCAAGTGTCTGTTACACGCGATTGTCATATCATTTCAAGTTTTCAAAAGAATCGGCATTTACGTATATAAGCGCATTTTTTTAATGTCAAGTAATTTGAATCAGAAATTAAAATCACTCAGTATTTTTGTTTGTCATTTTCTTTAACTATCATAATAAAGGTCATATAACTTTTTTTTAATTTAATCTTTCAATTAACTTTCTGTAATATGACATAGCAACGTTTTTTAAATTTAAGGGGGAGGGTGTGTGTGTGGAAGGGGCAGACAGACAATAATTAAGAATGGAAAAAAATACGTGAAAAATCTTTCATAGGGAAATATAAATAAATAAATGCAATAAAACAAAAAACTATCCAGACCCCCCCCCCCCCACAACCCTGATATTACATGTAGGTACCTGTACATATATGTTATGTGCCAATCGGGGGTAATAGTCAGCAAAATATTTCACTACGTTCTTTCAATACTTTTGAGGTAAAAAAAAAAGGAAACTTTTATCATACACATAATACTATCTATGTCTATCTACAGGATAGAATGAAGTATTGGTCTATTTAATAATATATGTACACAACTTAGCTGACATTTTTTTCTTCTTTTTTGTGCAATCTCTGTGTAAAATTTCTGTGCAAAGTTTTAATTTTAACAATAAAAAAGCTTTTGAAATACTAAGTACTATTCACAGCAAGAACCAGCAACAAGAAGAATTGCTTATTTTTCAATAAATCCAAAATAGGAGTTGCACGTCTTCATTGTGTGCATATATAATTACCATGCATAATTTCAAGAATTTGGAGTTAAAAATGCTACATATTGCAAAAAATATGTACCCCCTTTCAACGATGGACTGACGAATGAACGGAGTTCAGCAGCTTTAGTAGACTCGCTGTTGACGATGCATGTTAAAATTCCTCCTCATTGGAATATTTTTTTTTAATGTAAATCAAATTCAAGGTACTTTTGTTTCAAGCATATGACCAAGTGTAAGTTAGCTAATTTAAAGTAAAAGTGGAACACGACATTTATGTACCTTCAACTTCTTGAACAGACGTTTCATCAATAACGATTGTTGCGGAAATCTTCATAGATTTTCCAGAAGACATGGCCGATTTTATAACATTGACGACCATTACCACAGTAAGATCCGGGACAAGTGGTGCATTCGTTGGTGCTGGTGTACCACTAGTCTTGCCTGGCCCCTCCGTAGCATTGGGGGATAATATCGGAGGTGGGGGAGTAGCAGGCGGAGGATTAAAGATAGTTATATACACGAAAACAATACTGCCTGGCCTAAAATAAAAGAATGAATGCAAGTATGAAATAAAAATGAGTCTTAGTTGAAAACTGGAAAGACAATAAAATCATTTTGAGCATTATAACTTACTCAATTCCAGTGACTTCCGTGCGGTTGTACCGTTCAGACAAAGTACTGTTCTGATACAAAGTATCCATCTGTGAAAAATAAGAAACATTTCGATTAAAAAATTCCGTTCTTTGCTATGTATACTTAAGAAATAAGGTATCATTTTTAAGCATCTATCGGGATATAAATACGGGTTGGTCACGATATCAAATTCCATAAAGCCCGAAGGGCTTTATGGTAAATTTGATCTCGTACCAACCCGTATTTATAGCCCGATAGATGTTTAAAAATGATACCTTATTACTTATATTTACATTTGTGACTTATTCATATTTTATATTTGCCTGATTATAATCTTTAACGCGTGAAACGTTTTATTTTTCAAACCCAACGGCACGTGTTTGATCCTCTGATTGCGCGTCGACCCTTTATGACGTCACTGAGAAATTACGTCGAACGTTTATGACGCGAGGAACCCGTGTTTATACGGATATAGATACGCATTGCTTTCAATAGTGTTATATAAAAGAAAACATTTGCAAATGTAAATATATATATATACATTTGTGGTATCTCTCTATTATATAAACATGCAGAGAGCAAATATCTTCATACCTGTATGAAGTTTTTCGAAGGTCATAGGTCTTTACGTGACCTAATCACACAGCGCAGTAATATCTACATAAAAAGACTTACTCCACTAAGCAATATAGCATGTTTTTCATGCATAAAAATGTACAAAATACGCAAGTAAAATAATAATCATTTTATTTACAATGTAAACGAGTATTTAATACAGTTCTTGATCGATTTTACAAAGAGAATAGAAAACTACGCGTTATAAGTTTCATGTCTGAGCTGCATAGTCTCAACGTTTACCCTTATTTTTCTCGCAGACCTCTGAATGCTATAATTTTTTTCCATTAAACTTTACTCACAATAAATTTGAAAATCTGTTGAAAAATATCAATGTAATGCAATCACGCCACAAACAGCTGACAAACACTGCACCTCGGAAGTTCGGTAGGCACACCTCCATCATCGAGATCGTTGTGACGTTGTCTTAACAATGTAAGCTGTCGCCAGTGTCTCCGTGTCAACATCATAAATTAATAAATATGCCTTACCGAAATCGTAGATTTTATGTTTTTGATCAAATTTTGCACTTGATTTCAAGTTATCTGGTCCGGACAAGTGTCTCCATCCATCCCTTTCCGACCGAAATTCCTCCAACTTTTTAGTATCCAACATCGGACGTGTTTCTTGTGTTTTTTAACATCGAATATGGGTTCTCATGAATACAAAAATTCCCAGACACCAATATGCTCACTATAATAATTGATCACATGTAGCCTTTCACAGAATATTCCCTTCAAAACAATCCTTTGCCAGATGAATTTGAAGCGTAACCGCTTTTCAAGCCGATTTACACCTAGCGTAATTTGTCAAAATCTACGACGTACAGTTAGTGCAATATTTATATTCGATTACATTCGATTGTCCGTCTCAAATGTATATATAAGTAATAAATAACAAGTTTAAAAACTTCAATGGGAATTGAAGTGGGTCGGTACGTGATCAAATCTTCTGAGAAGGCCTTCGGCCTTCACAGGATTTGATCACGTGACCGACCCACTTCAATTCCCATTGAAGTTTTTAAACTTGTTATTTATTTCTTAAGTATATAAATAATATTTCATCCAAAGCGATGTTTTTTTACTTAGCAAAAAATTAGCAATCTTTTCAATCGCTATTTTGATTTGATATAAAGTATAAAAATCGATTTCCCCATCATCACCTTATTGACTAACACTCTTGTTCAGTTTCTCATCTTACAAACTGTACAAATTCTGAGTAACGCTATTTTTTGTGTGCTTTCCATCTGCTTAATTTTTTTTTCACCATGGAATAAGCACTAGAACTTCTGTCCTTCTTTTGATAATAAAAGTTTACTCACGGCATGTTCGAAGTCCTCTTTAGCTGTTTTATACTCAGGTGTATTAGAGTCGTTTAACTTTTCATCCCAAGTTTGGTTGACTTTAATAACACCTTCGAAAATTACAGGTTTTGGTGGAGCTGGAAAACAAAGTAACTTTTAGGATGTTTTTGAAACGATATTCTCGCGTTTCTTTTATAGTTTTTAACAAATGTTCTCATCTAAATGTTTAGTGGAGGTAAAATGTAACCGTGAACACTTCCTGCGGGTCAGGGCTTATGGAACATGTAAAGAGCAAAAGAAAGGAGAGAGTTACCTTCTGTTGTAGTAGTAGGAGGTTGTGTTGTGGAAGTTGGTTCTGGATGAGTTGTTGTTTGTTCTTCAGGTGCTCCAATTGTGGTGGGTGTTTCAGTTTGCATTGTTGCCGGTTCTTCAGTCGTTGTTGTTGCCTTTTGAGTTGTTGTCGGTATTGTTGTTGGAGCTTGAGTTGTTGTTGTTGTAGCTTGAGTTGTTGTTGTGGGAGCTTGAGTTGTTGTTGTGGGAGCCTGAGTTGTTGTTGTGGGAGCCTGAATTGTTGTTGGAGCTTGAGTTGTTGTTGTGGGAGCCTGAGTTGTTGTTGTGGGAGCTTGAGTTGTTGTTGGAGCTTGAGTTGTTGTTGTAGGAGCTTGAGTTGTTGTTGGAGCTTGAGTTGTTGGAGCTTGAGTTGTTGTTGTGGGAGCCTGAGTTGTTGTTGTGGGAGCTGGAGTTGTTGTTGTAGCTTTACTTATTGTCGTAGGAGCTTGAGTTGTAGTTGTAGTTCTCTGTGTTGTTGTAGGAGCTTCCGTTGACATTGTTGCTACCCCTCTTTCTATAATAATGAAAACAAAATAATCAAATACTTTCAGTACCTCCAGAATTTTAATTTCTTCTACAGGCCATTCTTTATTCTTATGATTATTTCAGTAATTCCTGTACCCTGAAGATGGACTGTTGTCGTTGGGTCTATCTTAATATTAGGAGCAATCTGTTCTATTTTTCCTGTCGTAATAGCCTCTTGTAGTACGTCTTTGACCGAGGTCAGTGTCACATCAATGCCGGACGTAAATACGGCATTAAAGACGTATATCACACTCCCGCGGCTGTTAGAATGAAAATGAAGATTAATAATTAAAATCTCTAAAAATGTATTTACAAACTTTAATATTTCCTCATTCACTATGATAATCTGATTGTAATAAAATTGTAAAGAGTATTTTTGCATTTTTAAGGACCGTTTACAGCTATTGTATACAGTAAAGCACGCTTAATTATAGCGAACACGATTATAATTGATGCTTATAGCGAAGTGATTTTCATTCCCCGTGACTTTAAAATATGTTGTAAACTTAACGGATATAACGAATTATAACGAAGCAAAATCATCCGTCCCTGGCACTTCGTTATATAAGCTTGTTTACTGTATCCTTATTCCTATGAATATCACGTAAACTAGATGCTTGTAATTTCGACAGAACTCAGATTTACTTTTCGTTTACACGATTCATTCAAATGAAAGAATTTAGGACACCCTATTAATAGTGAGGACAAATTGTCTTAAAATTTTGTCGTATTTCATTTTTACTTTTTGAATTGAAGATTTTGAAAATAATTTCTTATATGATAATTATATCATGAAAATTTACGTAATATTAAAGATGAAAACGACCAAAGGCAAACAATAATCTTTTATCACAATTTTATAATCTAGCCACATAAGTATTGTGCATATGTCTCTGAAATTATATGTGACCTTTCTTAAAAATGATGTGGTCCTTTATATGTCCAAAATACTTGACCCGCGATTTTATTTTTTCTTCAAATAATGCGTGAAAAGAGAAAATAAAATATCATTCATCCATATGTATTAATCATACACGACATGGTTTCGATTATGGGCAAAACTTGCCAGGTGACACCCTTTTCTATTTGTATTTTCATTATTTCCAATGTCTATATTTTCGAACGAATAGCTCTGCTTATTTAGACGGCGTTTATCTATATTAAAAACACCCATATCTTCATCTACTTTCAATCAAGGTCATTTGAGGTCTGTGGTATTTCAATTTGTTATAGTTTTTGTCCATAGAAAATACACTTGCATTAGCAGCATATGATAAGTATTTTATCAATTTACCCTAAGTTTCGGACCATGTAATGATGCAAGTATTCATTAAAAACTTACCGAAATCCCGTGCATTGTGCGCTGTCAAACTTCCCGGATAGAGCGCTACTTCTGTAAAGAGTTGTAAGCTACGAAAAAAAGAAAGAAAAATATTTGATGACCACAAACAGAGAGAGCAGGTGAACTTTAAGATCCGTTATCAAAATTAGTATGAAAGCAATGGTCTGACAATAACTATATTGATATTAAACTTCCATCCAACGGTAGGTTATAGGTTATATTGGCAAAAAAGGTCATTTTGACGGCCATTCTGAATTTTGACAAGAGTGTTGAGAGCCCTGAAACATCAATTTATTTGTCAATAGTTTGTGTCGGTTTGAAGATCAAGCTCCTGCGTATTGAATCAAGTGGACGATATAAACACCACATTCAGGTGATAATGGAATATTACTACACAGATAGGGAAAGATGACAATGAAAAAGCTAGAGTCCTTCCGTTTGTCACATAGTTTAGCCGATAGTTGGCCAGTAATGTACATAGTAAAACATCCATCTACGAAACAGATGTGGCTGATGTGTGATTTCTTTATTTCGGGTTCACTAGGATAAAACGTCATCGATATACATGTATCAAGGAAACGGCAGGAGTTTTCTTTTCATGTAGGAGTTTTTGAATGAATTTTGCTTCATAGGAATACAAAAAGCAGGTCGCTTATTAAAAAGCAAATTTATGCACAAAAAAAATTCTAATACTAGTAGATTGTTGGCATGCTACATAAATATAGTCAATGAGTAACTCTAGTTTCTGTTTGATATCAGCTGTAGAGTACTTAAAAGTTGTGCGTAGACATAGAATGATTCTTAACAAGGTCATTTAATTTATAGATGAATGAATCTGCATGTTATACAAATCATATACAGGCAATTTTAATTTAATCAGTATTTTATTATGTAAAGTCAGTTTACATAATTGGATTGGACATCAGGCATGGCCTATATAAGTCCTCTCCAAGAAGGTCAAGGTTACAAATGTTAAGAATTGACAATGATTTACAATCATGATGAAATAATTCATAATAAGTTACATTAATTTCTTTTGTTAACTAGAAATGGGAAAAAAGGAGAGATAAATTAATAAATTCACAAGAGTTATTACTTAGCATGTATATTCACTATGCAATATAATGAAAAAAATAAAAGAGTGCAAACAAACAACAAAATAGAATAAGTAAACAAATGAAGTGCAAAAGACAAATATGCAAGGAAAAAAAAGCAAAGAAAATAATATTATTAATAATAAATAAATAAATCTGGAACAAGCAAAACACTGGATAATAATAATAATAAAAAAAAAAGAATGAAAGTGCAAAAGACAAATATCCAAGAAAAAAATACAATATATATACATGGAAATGCTGAGATTTGAAATAAGTATAAATATCAAAAATATTAGGAAATTAATATTAAAACTTAAATATGAAATAACATCAAAATCGCTTTGAAAACTTGATGTATAGTTGGACTGCATCAAAAATTGAACAGTTAGTTTTATCAGGTAATTGCCTATCACCAAATAGCAAAGTATTCAAAATTTGATCAGGAGAGAGGGTTTCTAATTCTATTATACTCTGAAGACTATCAAAAAGTATCATTCTCTGATTATTATAGGCAGGGCATTCTAAGAAAAAATGATAGTTATATTCTCGTTCGGATATCCGCACTTAGTACAAGATGCCATTTCACTTAAATACTGATTATACAGGTGAGCATTTAGATTACTAGATTCATTACGTAGTTGACAATGTATAATGTTTTCCTTACGATTACCATAATTAAAGATCTTGACATTTTTTATTCTGTCTATAGTAGGTTTCTTTAAGATATTCTTGAAACTTGAATAAGATTCAATACATTTTGTTTCTAATGGTAAACTGTTCCATAATTGTATAGTAGAAGGCAAAAAACTGTTGAAATATGACACTGTCCTTGCTTGAGGTATGACAAAATTAAAATTACCAATATTCCTAAGATTGTAACCATGATTTGGTGGCATAAAAGGTAGGACCATTTCTTGCAAATAGAGAGGGGCTATACCATACACAATTTTATAAAATAACAAGAGTTTTTGTCTTTCACTTCTATTATTTAATGGTTCCCAACCTAATTCTAAATACAGAGCATTTCTGTATGAATTTTTCCTAAGTCCTGTTATTATTCGGGCTGCTTCTACTTGAATATTTTCTAAAAGATTTGAAAGTTCCTGTGAGCAATTATCCCAAACAATGCTACCATATTCTAAAATGGGTCGAATAAAAGCAAAATAGACTTTTATCAATGCACTCCTATCTAGCAAATGTTTCAACATTCTTAAAAGATTTAGCCGAGAACAAGCTTTTTCATATAAATTATTTATATGATTTGGCATCATTGTGGAAAAGGAGTCCAAGATGACAGTGTGTTCTAGATTCATTAATAATACTACCATTAAACCCAAAATGGACTGGCGGATGGTCATTCGAACTTCTTGAAAAATTTAAATTACAGGTTTTGGTTGGATTAAAACCCACAGCCCATGTTGAAGCCCATTTATTAATTTTATCTAAGTCAGACGTAAGTGATATTGCTGCTGCATTAACATCATTATCTACAATTATAAACAGTGATGTATCATCTGCAAATAACCTTGTATTATTAGCTAAATTATCAGTTATGTCATTAATATACAGGAGGAATAAGAAAGGACATAGAACAGAGCCCTGAGGAACACCTGCAGATATAGGTTTAAAATTTGAATAGAACCCATTTAAGGCCACTCTTTGAACTCTGTCATCTAAATAATTTCCAATCCATTTTAATAATGTACCTTGAATACCATAAGATTCTAATTTAAAAAGTAGACCTTTATGCCAAACATCAAAAGCTTTTGAAATATCACAGAAGATAAATCTAACATCTTTACCTTTATCTAGGTTTGATATAATCGTATTATAAATTTCCACTAATTGGTTGATAGTTGAGTCATTTGGTTTGAATCCTGACTGGTATTTTGTTAAGATATTGTTTTCTAATATAAAATTGTACAAATATTTAAAAATAATTTTTCCATAATCTTGCAAAGACTACTAGTTAGTGAAATTGGTCTATAGTTATTAACTAAGTCAGGACTACTTTTACCCTTAAAAACTGGGGTAATATTAGCTTGCTTCCATACATTTGGTAATAGATAATATAGGCAATAGATAATATTGAAGTCAGTGTTACATGTAAATACCATTTTATCACATTCTGTCGCTGCTTTCTTGTACTCAATGGAAGCTGGATCATCATATTTGTCTGTCCAGGTTTGTTCTACTTTAATGCTGCCCTCAAAAACAGTCTTTGGTATATCCTTCTGATTTGAAGCTGAAACAACACAAGATTCTTGTTAAAACATTGTCTTAAATGAGTAATGTAACATCTTTTTTAACAGAAGATGTCTTTTCTTAGTTCAAATCTACCAAGTCCTTGTCTATTAACAGCATGCGATTTCTCATTTGTTACCGACACTGAAAATGTTATCTTGTCTAACTCATGTGAATTCACAGGTTTTGTTTTTAATATTCAATTACATTTGGAAAATTATTTAAGAAGGGATAATATGGACTTTGGGTTAAATTTTTTTCATCAGTCATAATATATAAATTTTCTATGTGCTTTAATCACACAAATTATATGAAACAGGGGCGCTTGTATACAGGACATTTTCGATAATTTGTCGATCATCTCAGATTGTGTATATTTCAAAAAATTGTCATATTCACCTATCAGCATGCTGAATACTTTTTCGGGAAAAAATGAAAACGATGATTCGTTGGAGTCTATCAAATAATACAATTTCCTCTGTATTTAACATTAACCATTGAAATTTCATTTTTTTTTTCTCCGAAACAAATCAATCATCCTTCTGTACTGGTACCTATTAATACTTTTCTACGCTTATTTTTATAAACACCCACAATCACGACACTCACATTGACTAGTTAAAAAAATCACAACGCCTGCTCCAGTAGCTATGGCCAAGAGGAATACTATAGAAACTGTTGCCCAGACAACCCGCGTCTTTTTGGCAGACCAGGATCCTGTCTTTTTCTGTCTGTGAAGACGTTCCCTCGACCCTCCATCGCTACTCCGATAGGGGTTTCCTGGAGGCAGATACTTTGGGTCAAAGCCTAGGGCTGCATAACCAACTTTTTGGGGATATAATGGGTTGTCATAATAATCTCTGGCTGGATAAGGTAAATATTCTTCTCCGTAATCATATCTATCCTGAAAGGAAACGTGAAAGAAAAAAAAAAGAATAATATGTAGTAACTTTTTTTGACCTGAGTTTTACTTTCCCATTTGTCTTTTTTTCTACGAAAAATTATTCAATTACAAATGGTCCGGTTGAAATTAAAAAAGTCGAACATCTTCAAGTTGCTTATGGCATGCTTTTGATAAAACTCAATTTTGACATCAACCTAAAATAAAATATGGCGAATTTGTTACCCTTTCTTCATTTACTAGGAGAAAAGGACGTAAAATTTAAGTGAGTATAAAATATGTGCAAATATTTTCACCATTTGAATGTAATTAAAAATAGCTATTTGAAGTTTCCAGATGGTATTGCAATTTTCTAACCCCCCCCCCCCCAAATATAATTTTAAAAAAAACTGAAAAATGACATATACATTTTTATTTGTATAATTGATTTATTTGAGTATTGTGACCAGTTCTTAAAATATTGGCTAAAATGTTGATGCAATCCATAGAAGGAAGTAATTGTATTTTTTTCTGTACGCATTTGCTAGTCAATGTCGGATAACTTACATACATGTACCTACATGTACTTGAGTCTCAAATTCAACTTGCATAAGGAACCAGTGCACATATTTTATGGTAATGAGGAAAACGAATGAGCGATAAAAGTATAATCAGGTATATTATTTTAAGGAAGTCACCTATGCCATTTCATTAGAAAGAATTTATATTGACAAACAACATCAAGATTTAATAGCATCGAGTCTGAATCAGAATTATTAAATATAAAACAGTTGATGGCGCAAATGAAAGCTAAAGTTATCCCTGACCTGACATCAATTTTTTTTTATCTTAGTAAATGATTTTTATTTTGAAGTTACTCTGAAGGTGATTATACTGACCAAAAAAATAAAAAATAAATAGCCTATCGCACTTTACACAATGATATTTTTACAATTACTAGGTACATAAACAGACCCCATTTATTTCTGGTTTGCGAAGTATTTCAAATTAATGAGTAAATGAATTCTATCGATTAAATTAAAAGGTTTTAAAAATCAGGCGAATATACGAGTATATATTAATTTATCCAATATCCGCCTTTAACTAATCTGTTAGGAAATTAAAAAGATAAATAAAATAAATTTTTGAAGGATATTTAGAGCTTTCTTACATTTAGCATTATTTTGATTTTCACTAACAGCCATGCAAGATATAAGCGTAAGATGAAAGAAATCCTTTGGGATTCTGAATAAGAAAATATTTTTCTAACTTTTGATAGTCTTTAAATTAAATCATTAACTAACAACGGAACAAAATTGTCATATTCACATCTATTTTGCCTTTGTAATTTTACTTTTCCACATAGCAAAAAGGGAACAGGGAAAGCCTCAATTTACTGACGAGCCACATTTGTAATTTTCATGGTTTTTCTTTTGATCTTAATTTTTGTGATCCTAAATTTGCAATTTATAGCAGTTAATAAATATGTATTTTTGCTATGCTTAAGTGACCTCTTGGACTCTTGGACTCGACGATAAGTTAGTTTTTCCAGATACATGTAACTAGCTCCTCCCCTTATTACAAATCTTTACAATGCGATTGTTATATGAACATAAATATTTAAGTGATGTATACTACTATATATTTATAAATGAAGTATAATTGATAAATATGATTTAGCCTAATTCTTTTATTAACTTTTGCACGTTTAAAAAAAGGATCAGGAATTAATTAATATCATTAGATAATACCCGATTTCCCTACAGCAGGAGATTTGGAAATACCATATTTTTATAATTTAATCCCATTAAAAGTATGAAAAAAAGTAATTTTCTTTCAAATATTTCATTTAAAAAAAGATTTTTAAAAAATTGTGCATAGCAAAAGAACATAGAGGAACCTGAATGCTATTTCATGTTATTGAGTTTATAATCAATTAGGTTATTAATGTGGAATGTTTGGTTTCAATACAAAGAGAATTCCAATTGTGCATGTTACATTGTTTTAAATACAAGATTAAATTTCATTTCCAACTAATTATTTATAAGAATTTGTGGTTCTCTACTTTGAAACACATTTATTTGATAGACATACATCGAATATTTTTTTGTTTTCAAAATTGATTATCACTTTATCTTAATCCTACAAATACAAGTAGAAAACTATACTATTACACTTCAGATGTAGAACGAGTGTAAAAATTCACTTAAAAATATAGACATGGCACTATACATATAGCACGATGCTGAATAAATTATTCTTAACCCGATCTTTGCTGCACGATAAGTACAAAACCTTTAGATATCATAAACAAATTTATGTCTGATAAAATTCTAATTTTTTTTTTTCGATTTATACGGCTCATCATTTAAAAAAAAAATTTCTCAAGGATTTTATTGACAAACCTATGCACATTTTTGTGTTAAGACGCAAAATTTCCATGGGGGTTCCCCGGAACTTTCTTAAAGGGATTAGGAAGTATATGCTTGAAAGACTTTCAACAAGGGTAGTTACCATACCTGAGGTACGCTCCTAGTTCTACTAGGATTTGCGCAGTTTTTCGAATTAATGAGTAAAGAAAAACACGTGCGAAAAGTTAAAAAGTTTTAGAAAAACATCTTTTGTTAGAATTAAAGGATTGAAATTTTCTCACAAAATAAAGTTGAAATTGCCTATTACATTTCATGATTCATGCATTGCCTTTGGGATTCGCAAACTTTTGCAACTAGGGTCAGATGAAATGTATTTAGGAACTTTTCCATTTCTTACTTTAATTTAAATTTTTAAGGAAAAAACATAATCCTATATAATTACTTTAATAGAATGCGAATTCAAAGTATATATTTCTTGCTACTTATAAAGATATTGGACTCAGATTTTGAAAAAGATAAGCACGGATCCAAAAGGGAAAAAAACTTAAATGTCTTTAATACAACTCAGCGGGATAACAGCAATTACTTCAATCTATTTTTCATTCGAATAATTATTTACAAAAATCGGGGCATCAATAGGAAAGCAAAGTACTTGCGTTCGAAAACGGATACTGGTAAAGAAAGTTAATATTTTTTGGAAACACAGTTTCACTAAGGCGAGAAGTCAACGGTTACAGAGTCCATGTTGGTTACCTGGCATTAATTCTATTACTTCGCAACTTTATAAGTGGTTTTACTTTAGCAAACATCAGTGTATTTAGTTTTTACAAATAAAATTTCAAGTGCAATCGTAAAATGGTAAATGTAAAGAGAAATACAAAGACTACTTATTTACACTCAAACAATAAATGTGCATGTTTTAATGGGTCAAAAGTAAGGCGTGTGCTCCAAGCTTTGTTCTTTTTGATTTATGTCATCCGGGCGTATGTTTTGGAGAAACTCCGATTTAAACAAACAAACAAAATCCCTTTTTAAGGACAGATGATACAAACAAAAAATGGATGCCTGGATTGGTATATATTTTTGGACCTATTTTGGTTGTAAATGATGAGAATAATAAATTTCTAAAATAATAAGAAATTGTAAACTTTCTATGATGTTCAAAATTCTACCTTTCTGCAACCATCCTTATTAATTTATACAACTTTTCGTCACTTTAAATCCAATTATTGTGGAACTTTGAATGAAAAATGAAAATTTATTCGGTTAAAGTTATTCATTTTACTCTTCTGAACATGACTTAAGTTGTTATTTTTAAGATTTTTGACAAAGGTTTGTTTGTATCATCTCTCCTTCAAAAAACTTCTATTTTTGTTTCCTTTTATTTTACTATTAAAAACTGCCTTCTTGAGGAATGGACAGCATTTGGAGCCCTTTATGAAGTATATCTGGGATACTCATTAAGATGATCTTTTTTAATTGATCCAGGTTTTGATTCAGCGACGTAAAACGTAGAATTAATTTCAGACAGCCTCACAAAATGTATTAAGGTCAAGATCTAGTTGATGACTTTAGACTGATTTTTGGCGTTAGATTCATTATGCATTCAATGTGAAATCATGTGAAAAGTAATCCTGATATCTATATTCAATTTTACATTATTTTATTGACAAACAAGTTGATGAAACAAGAATATCAGCAGTCTCGTTTAAAGTCGTCATTTCGTAAGTTCTATGGTCGATACAATGACCTTGTCAGCAAATACAATTTATCATTGAGTCAAATGCTGACTGACTTTTTCATACTAATTGTTAGTTCATTATTTACACACTGAATTGGCGACGGATTTTCCGTTATTACCCGATCATGACAAGGAGCACATGGCCGGTGTGAACGGTCGGCAGGGGATGCTCACTCCTCCATGGCACCTGATCCCAGCTCTGATGTTTTAGAGGTCCGTGTTTGCTCTGCTCCAAAATTTGTATTGTTTAATGGACTTTTGAGCTTGAATACTGTTCGTTATTTCCGTACATTTCGTTTAAAGAGGAGGTTAAGAACATACAAATTAATTACCGTTTTCTGAGAGACTGTAGGCAATCTGGATACATTTCCTTTAATTGTCTGATATGGAAAAACTCTCATGATTGCATGGCTTTCTTAATTTTTCATTGAAAATGACAGTTTAAGATATGATTGTTCGTCTTGTTTTCCTACAAATTATGCCCCGATACACCTTATGTGATGAAACTATAGTTATGAAGCATTTTAAAAGGAATATATTTCTCAAATTTTAGAAATCTGTAGGCACCTTTCATTTAGTAGGTCTTGACCTTAAATATGCTGATATTTGTTCAAGAAAATTTGAAGCGTATATGACTGTCACCATCTTGGACTAGGGATTACCCTAGTCCGTTTCTACACAGTGAATATAAGGGCGTGTCCATTTGCTTGGTTGTTACACACAATAAAAGCACCCTCAGTATTTTTTATTGAGATAAACGGGTCGCCATTTGAAAGTTTGGGGTTTCCTGAATTTTGGACCTTTTGAAACGATTACTTTTAGGTCCTCGTTTTGGTTTTGATACATGTATTCAATCACTATTAATTTCGAATTCGAAGAAACAAATGCATGAGATAAATATAGAATCTTCC